GAGCAAGGATAAGCAGAAATTAGACATTGGGGAGGGACATTATCGTAAGCTTGAGCTGCCACTGTTCAATGGGACTGATCCCGATTCATGGATTTTTAGAGCCGAAAGATATTTTTGCATGAATAAGCTGAATGATGTCGAACGGGCATGGGCAGCTGGGGTATGTATGGAGGGCAGTGCTCTTTCATGGTTCCAGTGGGAGGATGGGAGACAGCCTATGCGAAGCTGAGGGGATCTAAAACATCGTCTGTTGGAAAGGTTCAGAGACACTCAATATGGCACTCTGCACCAGCGATTTTTGGCGATCAGACAAACATGAACGGTAGCAGAATTCAGGGAGAAATTTGAATGACGAGACCTTAGAAGGAGTTTTTATCAATGGGTTGGACGAAGAGCTGCAGGCAGAGGTGTTGATGGCTAATCCAAAAGGGTTATCTCAAATCATGGATATGGCACAACGGATCGAGGATAGAAATGTGCGAATTAGTAAGACTCGGGAGCGTCCACGTTATAGAAGTTCTACCTATAACCCCCCTGTTCGGACAGAGAATAGAACCATGCCTTGGAATCCTCCTCGAGGTAATATTCCGTTGGAAAAGACAGGAACACTCTCTACACAATCAACTTCAGGATTTAAGAAGTTATCACAAGCAGAAATACAGGCCAGGAAGGAGAAGGGGTCGTGTTTTAGATGTGATGAGAAATACACTATTGCGCATAAGTGTCGTAACAAGGAATTGCATGTGTTGCTCGTTGATGATGACATTGAGGTGGGCGATGAGGAAGAAGTACTTGAGGAGAAATTAGATAGAACAGATTTAGAGGGAGTGGAGTTATCAATGAATTCGGTGATCGGTTTGACATCACCTAAAACTATGAAGGTAAAAGGTACGATTAATGGACAGGAGGTTGTAGTACTGATTGACTCCGGAGCAACACACAATTTTATATCCCTAGATTTGGTTCAGAAATTGAAATTACCCATTATTGAGACTAATGGTTATGGGGTGCAGGTCGACACAGGGTTGGCAGTTAAAGGAAAGGGAATTTGTAAAGGAGTGGTGCTTTACATGCAAACTGTGGTAGTTGTTGATGAGTACTTGCCACTAGACCTGAGTAGTTCTGACATTATTCTAGGAATGCAATGGTTGAGTACGTTAGGCACCGTTCAAGTGAATTGGAAGCTATTGGTAATGAAGATACCCATGGAGGATAAGACTGTAACCTTAAAAGGGGATGAAGGGTTAAGTAAGTCCTTGGTTTCCTTGAAGTCGATGTTAAGAACTATACAGATGGAGGGTGAGGGTTTACTGGTGGAGCTCTGTTCGGTGCAAGCAGAGGAACTTAAACAGGACTCTAATTACCCAGAACCCATTCAGAATATTTTAGCAGCTTAGAGCACTGTTTTTGAGATGCCAGGGGGTTTGCCTCCTCTACGGGGTCATGAGCATGCCATCACGTTGAAGCTAGGGACTGAACCCGTTAATGTGAGGCCCTATCGCTATCCTCATGCCCAGAAGACAGAGATTGAGCAGTTAGTGGCTGATATGTTAGAGGCAGGGATAATCCAACCAAGCATCAGTCCATTTTCGAGCCCCGTGTTGTTAGTGAAGAAGAAGGATGGAGGTTGGAGATTCTGTGTAGATTACAGAGCCCTGAACAGCGCCACAGTACTTGATCGATTTCCTATACCAGCCATTGATGAGCTATTGGATGAATTGCAGGGTGCCACCACCTTCTCCAAACTAGACATAAAATCAGGGTATCATCAGATTCGTCTGATGACTAGGGATGAACACAAAATTGCTTTCAGAACACGAGGGGCATTATGAGTTTTTAGTCATGCCTTTTGGGCTGACTAATGCCCCAGCCACATTTCAGTCATTAATGAATCGTGTTTTCAAAAAATTGTTGCGACGGTGCGTGCTGGTTTTCTTTGATGACATTTTGGTGTACAGTCGTTCGTTGGAGGAGCATTGTAAGCATTTGAGTGAGGTGTTAGGGCTTTTACAGGAACACTAATTTTTTGCAAATCGTAAGAAGTGTGAATTTGGATGTGTAACTCTGGAATATTTGGGGCATGTAATTAGCGCTAATGGGGTAGGGCTGATCCTAAGAAACTATGTGTAATGCAATCATGGCCTGTTCCGCGAAATATCAAGGCATTACGAGGCTTCTTGGGGTTAACTGGGAATTACCGAAGGTTTGTGGAGGGCTA